TGCCACCACCCCCTCTGGGCTGCCCAGCACAAGAGCTCCGGGTGGACAGCAGCAGCCAACAATGCCCAGCATGGCAAGCGGGGAGGTGACAGCTGCTGCCACCAACAGGCAAGCCTGGAGCTGGCATGGAGCCCAGGCTGGGAGCAGGGCCAGGTTACAAGCTAGTGCTGAGCACAGGGAAAAGTGGCCCCTCGCTCACCCTGTGGCCAGCACCCCATGCCGCAGCCACTTGCAGTCCATGTGGGGCTGCCTGTGCCTTCTCTAGACAGCCCTGCGTGGGCTGTGAGCACCTGAAGCAAGGAGCACTGACCATGGGGTGGGAGAGGGGCCGCTTTTCCCCGTGCTCAGCACCAGGTTCTTTCCTGCCAGCGAGCAGGGGGTCAGGGCTATGAGCTGCCCCCGGCCTGTACTGCAGGGCTCGAGGGCACTGGGAGTGAGCAGCCAGCGGCCCGCACCAGTGTCCCAGGGCCAGTGCCAGTGGGGCCCAGAACAGGGTGGCAGGAGCGCAGGGTCCCAGCTGGCAGGGGCTCTATGGAGCCAGGCCAACTCCTCCCTCTCCCTGCTGGTGCAGCCCAGCCCGACTCCACAGACCCCTGCCAGCCTGTGCCATGCTTTGTGACCCACTGGTGCTAGCCCTGGGACATTGGTCCCAAGATGGTGACCAGGGGGTGGGGCACCTGTCAAGGGGCAGGGTTCCCCATGCAGCCCTCAACAGCCTGGCAAAACTGGGTAAGCGGTCCTCTGCCCAAAATAATTGCCCACCCCCACCCCATTCTACACTGTCAAGCAACCAGCAGAAGGCAATATGCGAAACATCTTGTTATCTTCTGCCAGCTTTAGCAGTGGCTTCAGCAGCTGATGCCTTTCCAGGGTGCTCATGCTCTCCTGGCACAGCTGCTGCACCAAACCAGATGAATCCACCAGAAGTATGCAGATATGTCCAGACGCTGCCTTTACCTGTTGTTTGCCACCAGAATTCTGGCTGGCAGAAGAGGTAAGTATAGGCAGTAGGGGTGTGCGAAGCTTCAGTCTCTAATTCAATTCGGCGGAAATTCGGCCCAATATGGTGGCCAAATCTCCAAATCCGAATCAAATCAGGAGAGCCTTTAATCTCTCCGATTGAATCGGAACCCTCCAAACCGATTCAGAGGAATTCGGAGATTCAGACATAGATACAGATTTAAATGTTTTTTCTACATACCTCAAGGTAGCAGGCAGCTCGTGAATGCTGCAAAGCTGCGGCAGATGGAGTGTCCCACAGGAGCACAGGAAGCTCCCCAGTGTGCTCAGCAGCAGACTTGGAAGTGGACCAGAAGCATTCTGGTCCACTTCTGGGTCTGCTGGGGAGTGCGCCAGGGGCCCTCCCACACTCCTGTGGGACGCTTCATCCACCCCAGCATTGCAGCATTCATGAGCCGCCTGCTACCTTGAGGTATGTAGAAAAAACATTTAAATATGTATCTGTGGCCAAATCACTGATTCTCTGAACCCACATTGAATCTTCAGATTTGGATTTGGCTGAATCAAATCAAGGACAGTGATCCGAATCAACTAATTGAATCACTGTCCCCAATTTGGGCCAAATCTGAATCAAATACGGCCTGTTTCGCACACCACTATAGGCAAGTTAGTCTCTCTAGGCCTTATTTTTTCCATCCATCAAATGGGAATTAGTAACACTGCCTTTGTAAGAGCTGTTATTAGAGCTGGGTGTGTGACTGAGTAAATGAGTGAGTGAGAGAGAGAGTGAGAGAGACAGCGTGACAAAGACCATAAAAGTGCCATACTTAGTCATACCAGTAATCCACCTAGCCTAGTATTCTGTCTCCAACAGTGGCAAGTCACTGTAGATACTGTAAAGGGAAAGTACATGAATGAGCCATGTCTCAAGTAAACCAACCCTGTCACCCTCCTTGGCATTACTGATTTAGGAATGTCAGCGGATGCATCCCTGATTGTTGTATTTAATACCTTCCAACAGAGCTGTCATCCATGAATCTGTCTAGTCTTATTTTAAACCTATTTACATATACAACCTCCTGTGGCAATGAATTCCATAAGTAAACTGCACACTGGCTGCATCTACACGTGCAATTAACACATAGCAATAAACTGTGGCACAGTTTGCACTAGAGTTTATTGCTCCCGGGCACAGTGTTTCCATGTGTGCCCACAACCACAGCACTCTAAGCTGGGATAAAGCAGCCCTGGCTGGCTGTGGGGGCCTGGGGATTCATCCTGCCAACCTGGGGTTTCTCTATCCTGGCTCAACGCACTATTGAGGGGCTGGCTGGGGTACATAGGTGCTACAGTGCAGGGACAGCCAACAGGCTGCCCCCTGCACTGTAGCACCCTCATGCCCCAGCCAGCCCCTGTCACCATCTACATGTGTGTTTTGGTGCATGTAACTACTCTGCTGTAGGATAGTACTTGTCCCAGACAGCACTATCCTACAGCGGAGTTAATTAATTTACTGCACCCTAATATGGGCACATGTGTACCCGGTGATGCTTTAATGCAGAGCTAATTAGTCAGCTCCATACTAAAGTGCACATATAGATGCACCCACTGTGTAAAATCTGCCTCCTGCTAAATTCAGTGGGTGTCCCCTAGTTCTTGTATCCTGGAGTTTGGTATATAACAGTTCCCTACTCACTTTATCCACTCTCCTCATGATTTTAAAGACTTCTATTATATCCCCTCTCAGCCTTCTCCTTTCCACACTGAAAAGTTCTAGCCTTCAGTCTTTCCTGAGATACAGCAGAAGAGTGAGTATGTTATTTGCTGGGAAAAAATGCAGTTTTAGGGGGACCAAAACAGTTCAGAAATTAGGATAAAATTCAGTTAATGGTTTTGGCCAAAAAAGTATAAGATATTTAGGAAAAGTCTAAGTGTTTTGACATCTTCAAAATAAAATGTTTTGAAATGAAAAATTGAAGGGGTTAAAGTGGAGTTAAACAATCAAGAACATTTCATTCAACCTGAATTTTTCCTATTTCTTCTGTGGGATAAAACAACGAAAAAAAAGAATCATTTGGGAGCAACTCAATATGAAGTGTTTTCATTTGAACAGTAAGCCCCGCTCCCCTCCACCCCCCAGTCAATTATTCACAGTTCTGTTTTATTATGGGTTTGTACAGTTCCTTGCACATCTTGGCCTCAATCTCATGCCTGGGGCCCTCTCAGCACAACTGTAATAAAAGAGAAGGGGAGAATAAAAACAGTACTTGACTCCTGCTGACTTTGTTTTCATTCCAATTCACCTGAAGCTTCCCATACATGCAGTTAAGAAGGTGGGAAAGGGAAGATTAAGGATAACTGGATGAGTATCTTTAAGTTGTAACCCTTTTAAACAAAGTATAAGCACTTCTTTTTAAAAAGGCTTCTAACTCATTTTGTGCAACTCCGTTTTTCAGAAATGTCTCAGCCTTGAAACTTGAGATTGTTTTATCCATTAGCCCTGCAGCATGTCTAGAGCCAAAGATTATTGCTCTACTGGGTTAGCTGAAAGGCTTTGGAATTCAAAGCCTGTACCAGGCTGCAAAAACAACATAGCAGGGCAACTGCATTCCTAGCATATATTTTATGAAGTAAATGGAGCTACATCAGAGAGGAATTTGAGCCACTTTATTTCCTGAGGGATGAAAAAGCAGAAGTATGTTTGATTATACAACACCTTTCATGCAAAAAGCTTGTTCAGAAGAGTGAGTTTATGTAGTCATATTAATGGCCAGAATATGGCAATGATAACAGCTCACATACAACCTGGGGTAAAATATTGTTTTCTTTATTGAAGAGGAAAGTGTGGGCCAGAGCAATGTTATCTCTTTGTCTTTCACTGTGCATTGAACTTAGCTGCCTTAGTTATATCAAGGGGAGAGTAGGCAAAAGGCACCTCTACAGAAAACTTCCAGGAAACAGTTTACTTTGTCTATCTATATAATTTCAGTTTACCAATTAATATGTTCTCACCAGGCTATAAGAAGCAGCAATGCTTTGTGTCTGCATTATGTACAAACTTTTAACGAATGCATAAAATATAAATTTACTGTGCAGTAGAGCTGTGTGAAGCTTCGGTCAACAATTCGATTTGGATTCAGAGATTTGGCCCGATTCAGCGGCTGAATCTCCGAATCCAAATCAAACCGGGAGACCCATTAAAAGGTCCAAATTGAATCCAAAGCCTCTGAATTGATTCAGAAAAGATTCGAAGAGATTCAGATCAGCCAGGGAGAGGCAGGCACAGGCAGGCGGCTGCAGGTTCTCCCGCAGCTCCTCCAGCTGTGCCTGCCTCTCCCGGGAAGAAGCCCTCATGGCTGGCCTGCCCCGCCCCATCCCCAGCCCGGCCCCAGCCTCCAGGCCCCCCCCGCCCCAGCCCCCAGGCATTTAAAAAAAAAAAAAAAGATAGATAAAGCCCTGTACTCACCGGTTTTGGCAGCAGTGACTGGAGCCCTCTGAAGGCTCATTGTAGAGCACCCCCCCTCCCATGGTACGGGTGCAGCACGGCTCGGTAGGGCACCATGCACTGTCTAGGAGTTGGGGTAGATCCAGGTATCAGCCAAAGCCTGGGACCACTCAGCCCTACCAGCCCCAGCTCCCAGATAGTCCACGGCACCCCACCGAGCCATGCCGTACCCATGTGATGGGACAGCTGCCGTGCAGGTGCCAAGCAGGGGGAGGGAGAATCCCCCCTCCCCCTCTGCCCCACACTGTGTGGGAGGGCTCTGCCACAAGCCCTCATCAGCCCCAATCATTGCTTCTGCAGCCAGTGAGTGCGGGGCTCTTTTTTTTTTTTTTAAGTGCTGGGAGGCTGGGGCCGGGCGGGGCTGGGCAGAGCAGCCATGGGGGCTCCTCCTGCAGCTCCCCCAACCTGGGGAGAGGCAGGCACAGCTGGAGGAGCTGCGAGAGAGCCTGCAGCTGCCCAGCTGTGCCTGCCTCTCCCCAGCGGATCCAAATCTCCAAATCAGCACCAAAACAGCATCAAATCTCCGATTCTGATTTGGCCAAATCAAATGGGGATAGTGATTCAAGTTACTGAATTGAATCATTATCCTCCAAATCAGCCAAATCCAAATCGAATACTTCCCTATTCACACAGGCCTCTTGTGCAGTCATATTTGACATACTAGATTCTAACCCAAAGACATTTTACAGATTTCAGAAATGTCCCAGCTCACCATAAAATAGTCTGCTTTCCTTTTGGAGACTTCTAGATTTACATATTCTTTTCATTTTGGAAACAGCTAAATGGCCTTGCTTCAAAGCCCACTGAAGTCAAGTGGAAACTGATCAAAGGAAATCATTTTTCACTCAACATGTAACACACTTTGTTGTCATGGTTGAGGCCAATAACTTAGTAAGATTTCAAAGATAGATTGGAGAGTTATATGGATAACAAGTGTATGCAGAGCTATTCTATTTAATGTTAAAATAGGTTTTGGAAGGGTTATAAAACCTGAAGCTGATTGTTTTAATGGACTCTAACTATTTAGAGGTTAGTAGGAGATCTTCATGAAATATTGTCTTATCCTGTATCTGTCAAAAGAGGATTTCTGGAAATTTCCTTTGAGACCTCTAATGCTATCCAGAGGATGCTGAACAAGATGATCTGTGGGTATGACCCAGTATGGCAATTTCTACATTCTTTAATAAATGGAACATCTCCTACTGACTTTTATGGGCATCATATCAGCCACAGAGCAAAAGAAACATAATAAAAATGTTACTCTATTCCATAAGGGGCCCTGTACTCCAGGATGATACCTGGAGAAGAAAGTAAATGAAAGTTAAATGAGGTTGTTTTTTTCTTATTTCTGTTTTCATTGGTGCACATGCACCCCCTGAGATTGGCAGTGCACCCCCTGAAAAAAGTGCCATCGATGTTGCCAGTGGTGCCTGCAGACGGTCACCACTTGCTACCCTACCCCCCCTTGCTGCCATCACCACCGGCAGCATCTGTGGGCAGTCCCCGATCGCTGCTAGCTGCCGCCGATGTTACCAGCAGCATCTGCAGGTGGTCGTTAATTGCCAGTCAGTGCTTGCCACCCCACCCTCCCCACCACCAACACTGCTGCAGCCACCTGCAGGAGCTCCCCACTTGCCACCACCATGGCCCTGCCGCCGCTGCCTGTGGGAGGTCGCCGTGCCCTCACCCCCAGCCTCCGGAGGCACGCATCGTTCATGTCTGTTTTGTTTTGTTTTGTTTTGTTTTGGCTTAAAAGCTACATCGAATTTTCCAGTGCCCTGCATCATACTGTGTTCTGTTTTTTAATGTCAATCAGAACTGGATTATTACTTACCTGCCTTTTCCTCAGGAGTTGGGCTCACCCACAGTTCAATTTCGAGTTCATTTCTGAGTCTAGAATGGAACAAAAGAAAACAATATGTTAGTGTGATGACAGCCATGCTTTCATTACCATACTATGCACTGGAATTGAGATCATGCAGTGCAAGGAAGCCTGAAGTTCTTATTCATGTGAGGATTCATACAGATGGCCATAGGCCAAATTCTGCTCTGAGTGTTAATCCCAGACTTTGCCTCATTATCCCTGCCCTACTAGGAGTATAGTCTTGATGCATTATTTGACTAGACCTTTGTTCCACGAAAAAGGTATCGTGACACTGGCAACTTCCTTTCTGAGAAAACAGATTGTTTCTGGCACTGAAGCAATGACATACATCCCAGCAGCATGTGTGGAGGAGCTAGACATGTGACACTTTGTAAAACCAATTACGTGAGCAATTAGTTTATTGTATACTTCAACCTCCTCACTGACCTTCTGCTTGCTAACTCATCTCTCCTATACTTCTTAAAATTCTAAGTTTCAGGTAGATGCCATTTAAAAAAAATATAATCAGCCTTAGAAATAAATAGTTCATTCTTCTCACCCTACAAAGAGAATTCCCCTTCCCTCAAAATTACATGAGACCAAAGTTCAAGAGAAGCCAAATACTGTTGTATGTACCAGCTATGCCCTATATACCCATTATGCAGCTATAAATAAAAATGTCACAGTTCTAAATTCTGATAACGAGCACTCCTGCAGGGTTTGAAATGAGAATACCACTAGGATGGAGGCATTCTAAGCATTTATTGAAATACAGGGTTTCTTTTAGCTCTGAAATGTCTCATGGGGATTGACTTCTAGACCGAAAATTGTCACAACATTGGAGTTACATTAGGTCATTTTTTAAAAAGTTTATTATCATTCTCTTGGAACTCTGTTCAGCTGGACTTGTCTTAACGAAAGTACCTTTGCAGATGGAAAAAGAAAAAAGTTTTAGGGTTGCTTTTCTGTAGCATATAAACTAAACACTCTATACAGCAGTATGGTATACAGATCCTACGGTAACCTTCTCAGCCAAATTCATATTGCTAAGACCTTATCTCATATCACTCCATCATGTATCCTCTCTCTGTAGGCACATATACACAATTGTATATTTAGCTACTGTTAATTAGAACCTTATGCTCACCAGCATTTCCTCTATTTTAAATCAGTCTTTACAACACTTCAGTATCTTAACAATTAGAGAATCATAAAAAATATGTTTTGAAAGCATAGTGTAAATGGAGCAAAGTGTACACATGTAATAAACTAAAAAAAACAAAACTTCAAAATAGATTTAAAAGACCTCTTAAGTTATCTTATCCTGACCAACTTGCTCAGATGTAAGAGATAAAAGATGAGTGAGGGAGAAAGTCCATCGGATTAATCAGCAGCTTCTGAATTCTTGAGGTGGGTGGCAGGGAGTGATGGGTAGGAACAGAAAAGTTCAGTGGATATGACTGTTTCGGTGCATATGGGGAGAAAAAAATTAACAGTGTATTCTGTGGGGAGAGGAAAAACAGCTTGTTTCAGATGCATACTTGGAGCATCTACACAGGATGCTACTGCACAGTGGTTACTGCACATTTATTTAGTACTTGTATCATTAAGTACTAAATCAATGCACAGTAACCAGAGTTACTGCTCAGTAGCACTAGCAAACACCTTTTTAGTGATGCTACTGCACAGTAGCGTATTAACACTGTTGGTGCTGTGATATGCTACTGCACAGTATTATTCAGCTACTGCACAGTTAGAATCTCATGGAGATGCACCCAAGGAGAACTCCAGAATAGACCACTGACAAGGGTCCTTGGACATTCAGCACACAATCAGACACTCTCAGTAATGTGAGGTATGAACGCTTCCATTTACTTTTGCCCCTCAATGCACACAAGCTATTAGAGGTAGATCCAATATAGAAGTGTATTACACTTATAGTACTTACTCTTCATTTCTCTCCAGAGCACTTTTGCTTTTCTTCATAAGAAATTGTACATCTCTCCTGGTCTGTTCTATTTCTTGCCTCTTTGTGGCTCTTTTTTCCATACCTCTTGCCTGAGCCAACAAAGTCTGTGAGATTACATAGACAAGAGTGAAATAGGAGGACATGAACTTTTATAACAGGCAGAAGCAAAAAGCATTCAAAAACGTGTATGTGCTTTTCCCCTTCACGGGACAAGCAAGGCCTGGCCTCTTTTTCTTAATCATTTTTAGGTGAAAATCAATCCTGATGGAAGTTTCTAAATGAGGCACTTCACGGGGAAGTGTTAACATTTCCAGTTATGAATCAGAAAAAACTGCTGAACAAGCACCACAATAACCACAGAACTCATTCTAATTCCACGGGGGTTTCAAAAGAGTAGAGGAAAGACTGGTACCAGCACAAGGAAGGACTGACAGCTGTACACATTTCACCCTGCTAACTGAAAAGAACACCACCCAGCTGAAGGCTTGGTTGTGTGGGACATAATTAGGGTGACCCTAAGGGAAACCAGGACATCTGGGATACTGCCCGCCCCACCACCCCCCTCAAGTCTGCGGTGCTGCTGCAGGCAATGGCAAAGGACAGTGGGCAGGGGCACAAGTGCAGTCCAGCAGGGAAGTGGACCTGCCTGATGCACCATGTCACTCAACCTCCCCACTGAACTGCACCCTACAAGCCTGCAATTCTGAGATGCTCATTTTAATTTTCACCAAGCTGCCCAAGACCAGCCTTTAAAACCCAGAACTGTCCTGGGCAACCTGGAACATATGGTCACCCTAGACATAATTCCTTAGATGCTTTGCCACTGCATAGTGTATTGGTGGTGTGAGACAAGGTACAATTTTACTTCTGTCCATGGTGCCAGGTTCACCATTACCTTCCACTGTGATCTCAGCAGATCAGATGTAGTACAAAGCAACACCACAACTCAGTCCAGAAAGCCATTAAGGACAGGAGAGGATGTCCAGGGGTAAAATCCTTATCCCATTGAAATAAATGACAAAATGTCCAGCAGAGATAGGATTTTCATCCATGGAATTAAAAAAAAAATCATAAATGTAAAATAAACCTCTAAAAATCAGCACAAACTAGCTACAGACTTAACATTTGCTGAGGGAGAAGCTGGGCAATTGTTGACTCCTTTCTATGCTCATTTTGGAACTTTCTGACATGCTACCTCCTTCCCCGTCTGCTAGGAGTAAGATGTGGCTGGTACAAAAGTTGGTGGAGGTACAGGAAACCCTCACTATTTATGGGTTCGTCATTTGCGGTTTCAGATATTCACGAATGCCGAACCCGCTTCTTAAATACACTTAAAGAAGCTCCTTGGGAGCTCTGTGCTTGCTGTCTTTGGGCTCCTGCCACTGCTGCCATGCTCTGCCACTGCTGATGCCAGAGTAGCCGTGCCCCCCCAGCCACCAGGGGCACTGCATTCATGAATGCAGGATTCACCATTTGCAGGGGATTTGGATTTCACCATTCACGGGGGATATGAGAATGTATCCCCCACAAATGGTGAGGGTTGCCTGTACTTAAATCAGCTTTATGCTAATAGAGTTCCTCTATACAAGAGGAATTCTCCTCCTGCTTTAAGGCTATGCAGCACAATTTGGCCTTACTAGACAGAAGAGTCTGGCTTGGAATATTTACATGGCCCTATGTAACTTCCAGTACAAACACTGAAGTTAACATTTAGATGTTGTGCTTGCTTCAAAAGCCACTGAAGGGGACCTTTCCTTACTTTAACTTCCCTGCTTTTTGTGCCTTAAATATATCATTTTCAAAACATTCCTGTACAGAGCTTCCAAACTGCAGCTTGACAGATATTCAGAATCTTTTCCCTACCATTTGTGAAGGTGATTCTGTATGAAGAGGATGTATGCTCACCAGGACCTGGAGTGAAACCACTTAACCATTTCACAGAGACTACCAATACAAATTAGATGGTGCAGATCCTCACTCACTACCAACTGGGACAGATTCAGACCAGTGAGTTAGTGATAAATAACTCAGAATTTAAATTACAAATGCCACTGAGGCATTCAGTCAGTTCAAATTCCCTTCCCTGACTAAAAAAGAAAATGGAACATATATTAATACAAGACAAACACTCTTCAGTATTAACTTAATAGCTATAGTCCCCAGGAATGTATATATGTAATACACTGTGTATAATATAAAGGTAGTGTGTGAGTGAACAGCTTCAGCATATTCAGCTCATGCTATTTTTGATCAACTCTTGTGTTTGTGCCTAAAAATCTATCATCTCAATTTCCATTGCTACTGGTTCTGTAGCCAAAGCTTGTGTAAGTAATAAAGTATAGGGCAAACATTAGATCTTCATATAAAAAATAAGCACAAATCGTTGTTAGAGGTTCAAAATGTGGTTATATCATTAGAACTAAATAATCAAGGACTGTACATTTCCAAGTAACTTACATTTCTGTAACATTACAAATGGTGAGAGCACACATGTAATCGAAGGAAACTTCCATGCTGGGCACAAGTGAAAAATGACTATTTTTCAAACTTTGAGTCCAAGATACAGTGCCTTGGTGACCTAACTAAGAATTACTACTGACACATGACTATTACCTTGTATTGTGTTGCAGGCAGTGAGTCCAGAAGTATTGCCATGTACAGCTCATATACATTCTAAACAAATAAAGAGGAAATAGGGGATGTCAGCAAACACTCACCACATGGTTTGGTTCAGAGATGACAAAGCCTGGCTTTACTTCATCACCAGAAAATGTGGTCTACAAGCTCAAGATCATTTTCTGCTCTTGTGCATATTTATTTGATTTATATGCCATCCTTCCCCCAAAAAAGGCTCAGAACAGCTTTTAGTAATAGACAGAACAAGATATAAAAGCAACTAGAATAAAATAGGATAACCAAAAGCTCCCTAAACAGCATCCCAGCCTAGCCTTGCTTGCTAAATTATTTCCCAAATAGGAAAGTGTTGCAGTGCTTTAGGAGGATGTCCAAGCTCAGGCTCTGGCAGGTGTCAAGGGAGAGGGTGCTCCAAAGCTGAGAAGAGACTATACTGAGCCCAGGGCATTCTGCTACCACCGCTGTCATCCCTATCACTATCCATCCACCCCATTCATCATCAGTTCCTCATCTCCCTGCCAGTGCTCCAGGATCTTATTCTATTTTCTGCCTTCTGCCAGCTACTGGGAAGCAGAAGTGCATTTACTGGTCATGTCTACACATGCAACTAAAGCAAAGCAATAAACTCTGGAGCTTACAGCTCTGGACCTTATTGCTCCAGAGTTTATTGCTCCCAGGCATGTCATTTGAACATGCGCTCAGGACCGCAGCATGTTGAGCCAAGTTGGAGCAACTCTGGCAAGCAGGGAGCTTGGGGGATCAGCCTACCAGCCCAGAGCTGCTCTGACCTGGCTCAATGTGCTTTGAAGGGGCTAGCTGGGGCATGAGGGTGCTTCAGTGCTGGGCTAGCCAGCAAGCAGCCCCTGAACTGAAGGATCCTCATGCCTCAGCCAGCCAGGGCAGCATCTACATGTGCACTGCTGCACACAAAAAACTCCACAGCAGGCTTGTATTTACAAGTACTACCCTGCTATGGAGTTTATTAGTTTCCTGTGCCCCAATAGGGGCACACATGTAGACACCGAGATCTTTACTGTGGAGCAAATTAGTCAGCTCCTCAGGAAACATCTTGTGTTGATACACCCACCCACTGTGTCCAGAACAGAACATGAAACTCAATTTTCTTCACAGTACTTTTAGATTCTGCTCCACATTAGAGTCTCTATCACAAATGTCCAGCCTAGATCATGCTGTGATAACCCCCAAGAGGTCTCTTACCTTAACTTCCTTCAAAATATCACCAAATATCAAAGAGCTGTTGCAAATATCCTCAAACACATCCCTGAAGACTTTCAGGTATTTGAAATGGGGCCAATCGCAATCACAGATTTGCTGGAGATCCTATAGGAAAACAGGATTGAGAACTACAGCATACATGTGTTGGATGTTGTCATAGACAATCTAGGATTTTGAAAAGGAAGGGGTGCAGGGACTGTAATTTATGCTATAGGGGTGGCTGTGAACCTGCTCCCAGAGCTGCCTTTCCCTGCCTCCCCCCCTGCCAATCCTTCCACAGTGAATAGACAAGCAGCCTGGGAATTTTTGGAGTCCCTGAAGCAGGTATGAATTCCCCTGCTCATACCACCCCCTCCCTCCAGCACTCAGTAGCACCTCCCCTTCTGTCCCCTCTCCAGCAGGGTTTGCCCAGGGCACCCACCTGCCACCACTACCTGACCCAGGGGTGACCAGAGCCTCAGAGCTGCTCCTAACCCACTCCAGCCAAGGGCTGCAGGCAGCAGATGCGCAAGGTGTTGGGTTCAGAGGGTCAGCTGGGGACAGTGGCACAGTAGATGGGCTCCCCCTTCCTGTGCCTTCTCCTTGCCCATATGGGACATATAGGGGCACAGCTGGTGTGCCACAGCTGCCTAGGCTCCACAGAGGACTCCGGCATTTGGGGGCAGCAGGGAACCAAAGCTATCATCTTGTACAGCTACACAGGTCCACCCCTGGATGTAGTTGCCACCTGGTTCTAGATGGCACAGGTCAAAAACAGTGATATCAGTCCACAAAAGTACTCACAGGGCACGTCTACATGTGCACATTTGCTGCACAGGAACTAAAATTACTGTGCAGTAACCGAAAATTACTGTGCAGTACAGGAACATGTCTACACATGCATGCCCATAGTGCACAGTGAATATGACAATTTACGGCAACTTGAGTGTAAGTTTGACACCTGCATCATGGAGGTATCAAATTTACACCCAATTGCATCTTCATCACCATCCAAATATCTACGTGACTTCAACAAATCTAACCAATTCACAGGTTCTGAGAATCTAGCCCTAAGAATCCCTCGTTTCATTCCTTACAGAAAACTGGTAGCCCGGGGAGTGGGAAAAATAAGGTAGTCATTGCCAAGGAATATAACCTTTATAAGGGTATATTTTGTGACTGTTGACATAGATAGCCCTTCCAAATCTTACATGTTAGGGTTGGAAAAAGATCTAGCAGGTCATCTACTCCATCCTCTCCTCCTTACTTATAGCTTATTTCTTCTCATCCATATTCAGATGATAACATGATACATATACACCTCATAAATAAAGTTTTAAAGGAAAAAATTTCAGATGTGATCAAAGACCAAAGTTTGTTTGTACAGCTGGCTAGCATACACTTCATTACAGCTAAAGCAAGGTTTTTGAAAAAATAAAGGTGCAAAAAGGAATTGACTTTGTTCTGGGACTTGTTTTTTGTTGTTTTTTGGGGTTTTGTTTTTGTTTTGGGGGGGTGGTTACATTTTTCATAGAATTGTACATAGAAAAGTAGGTCTGGTAGGATCATCCCAGTTGAAATCATCCCATGCAAGTGCTTGTCTAACTTATTCCTAAAACTCCACAAACAAAGTTGTTACACAGCTTGCTCAAGGATATTAAGAATGCTCTAATCTACCACATGTAAAGCAGAGAGAAATATTAGCATTTTTAATGCAAAATGTATTTTAACGGATTAATTGTGGTTTTATTGCCATGGGAAGAGTTATTATTGCCTTTATACTATGAATAACCTGTAAGCCCTTCATTTCAAATGATGACAAACCTCTTTTAGTCACAGCTGTGCCCAATTCACAATGATGTAATGTCTCTGATTTATTCTGTTGACAATGTGACCACCTTTTCCTGCCAGTAAATTTATTTTTAATGCAACTGATATAATAGAGTTTCAGGCAAGGTTGGCATTCAGAATAAGGCATCAATACTATTTCTAGGCATCTTAAAGTAATGTCAGGCCTATCTATAATCAGGCAGCTACTAGAAAGCTAGTATTCATTCCTTTCCATACTGCTCTCTTACCTCAGCCTCGTGACCCGTGTGGATAAAACTGGAGGAAAAAGCAACTCAGAATCAATGCATCAATGGTCAGAAACAACTAAGCAGTATGAAGTCCCACTGAACCATCGCTAGAATACTCTATCAGTAGGGGACTTTCCTTAGAAACCTCTGAAACCTCTTACCCGAACATTAAGTAATTAGTGTTGGCAGACTTGTGTGTAACAAAGCAAACAGGAATGTATTTGGTAGCCATGTTGGTCTGAGAGAGAGCAAACAAAATTCTGTACTGCAGCAGAGAATCTGTGCTTCATTCTCAGATCTACACAGAAATAGGACATGTTTAATCAAAGCCTATTTTGGAGAGGGGGACAACCTGCACTGAAGTCCGGATGCAAGCCGGCTGGCCATATCACCAACCAAACTTTCTTCCTCTTCAAGCTGAGTTACAGTGCCCAGCTGCAGTCATCCAGTGCACAAGTTCCACAGCTATAGCCCAGAGCAAATCATAGTAAGCAATCAATTTGTCAGCCACTAATCTCAGACACAACAGCATGAACTGAAGAGCAATACCACTCTCAGCCAACACGTAAGGCTCCAAAGAAAGATCCCATGTCATTCATGGTCAAATAGATAGATACTTCCAGGTCATTAACCTATGGCTGCTTCATGGCCAACAACACATTTGTCCTCCTTGCCCATCATGGCAAGGATCAAGGGACGCTACTCCCTGGAAAAATGACTCTCTCACATGCTGATTGCCACATATTTCCCTGCCAGAGCAGTATTAACTAGGCATTAGCACTGAAAAACAATTCTAATTGGTTGCCCCAGTAAGAACCAAGAGGTCCTTTCCAGCTTTAATTTCTATTAATTGAATATCTTAATTTCTCTCCCTGGAGATAAAGTATGGCTGTCTCATCACAATGATGCGATTTGTCGTCGCTCACGCTGGGGACTTTTTCCCCACTTCTCTGGTAATTGGGTAATTGAGACACTTTTCCTTACCTTAGCCAACTTCCTTTCATGCTGCTCTGATGCTTTGCTCCCGGTGAAGTCATTCTCTAGCAGATCATGCTTTCCAATAATATCCCTCTGGAAGCGTAGAAACTTGTTAAACTGATCGGTTCTAGTCAGACCCGCCAAGTATGAAGGCATAAACTGGTATTTGTCCTTGGCAACTTCAGCAAAACATTGTCGGCTGTTCTTAACTGGCCTGTGTTTCAGCACCTTCATCTCTGGTACATCTAACTCTTCTTTTTTAAGTGGCAGATGGAGTCTGTTAGTTCCATCCTGTATTTTGTTTTTAATATATTTCGAATGCATTTCCAATGGACTGGAAACTAATGAGGCATTTACTGGGACACTGCCCAGGGGTGGCTGAGGGCATCTATAAGTAGAAGAGGCAGATTTGGACCATGCTGAAACCAGTGTGGGGCTGGAGGAGACTTCAGCTGAAGTGTGTTTTATCTTCCTGGCTGTTTCACTTTGGGCTGGCAATAGATTTTTTTTAGTCACAACATGTGTTGTCTTCCTGGCACTGTCCCAGTAGCCTTGTTTTAATTTCCTTTGGGGCTTATAAAGCTTGTCAAGGTTTAAGTGCCCTGATGTGTAAAGTTGAACTTCAGTTCTGTGGGCCTTTTCCACACCATCCAAAAGGTATGCAAGGCTCCTTCCTTGCTTGCTGTCTGCCATGGAAAAACTGACCATTGCAGCACAGATTAGGGTAGAGAGGAAAGAAAGGAAAATAGCTGAGTTTTAGTTTAGAGAAATGTTTAACACAAACCTAACCTGTTCTAGTTTGGTTATAGCATATTGTAAGAAGAGCTGGTCAGACACTTTTTAACTAAATGTTTTTCATCCGAAGATGTTTTTCATCAACTCAAAAATGATTTAAGGGAAATGATAATAAAGGATTTTTTCTGTTTTGAAAGAAAAGGTTTTAAATAGTCTTGAATTTGAAAAAACAAACAAACAGATTTTTCCATCATGTTTAACTGAAAAAAAAATCATTTTTAGTTCAAAGAGACCATTTTCTGAAATGAACTTATAGTGAAGAGTAACACATGCACACACACACACATCCACAACTTTTTTATTTGTAATATATATTATAAAAATGTTAAATTATATATATATATATGTATACAACCATCCAAATCATAATGGAATATTTCAAAATTCTGGAGACAGAGTATTTAGATGAATCCAAACCATTTTTAAAACATTTTTGCTTCCCAAAAATTTCTCATCCTCATTCAGAAGAAAAATGTTTAAAATCTCAAATATTCTCATGGAATAGGAAAACAGTTTTCCAGCAAACTCTTGATTTTAAGTAAAATTAGTACTTTGATTGACAGCCCCAGATAGTCAAACCTGTGAAGCAGGAAATCAGACAGCAGGTGAAGCACCCTCTGCAACATGCCCCCATCAATATGCTGCACAGTTTTGCTTGAGGGCTAAGAGAGTGTATGCCACTCTCTTTTCCCAGTAAATAACTGGTCTCCAACTTAGGAATGCCTACAAACATTTCTGTTGGTAACAAATGGCAGTATTTTATGGGAGTCCAAGAACACATTTCAATCCTAGATTTTAAATTAAAGACTGGGGTTTTTTAATGCAGTTGCCAAAAATAGTGAGACATGGACATTTTGGGAGATGTTTCTGAATTTTTCTTTTCAGGGACAGGATTCTTTTTAACTAGATTTGTTAACACATCTGGCTGTCGTGCACATCCTGACCTTCTAAATCATGGTCTGTTTAATATTAGTTGGATTGGTGAATATGAACAAGTTACCCTGCAGTGAATCTTGTCCTGAAGTAAAAAGAGCTGTACCACATACAGCAACCTCTTGTCTCAGCATGAGGCAGGAATAAACTTAATAATGTTATTCTTGTTCCATTTTTCCAAGAATAATTTTGCCTCAGAGCAAATACCTTTGGACCAGTGCTCACATGCATGTCTCTCTGAACTGAAATGGTTTGGTGGTCCACCAGCTACTTTCCCATACACCTTTGCACTCTCTCACCCAAAGGTCCTCTCTGTTTACCGTGTGGCCTCTTCCACCACAGGTCACAGAGACAAGTGGTCACCCCTTGTTTGAATGCTGGCACGTGGTCACGTCCTTCCTCTTTGAGTGCAGACATTCCAGAGATCAGCACCTTGGGAGCTCACCTGCATTTTATCCCAGTTAACCCTTTGCCCTGGCTGCTTGCTGTTCTTCCCACTGGACCCATGACAAAGTCCTGGAATTTGTCCAGGGCAGGATGCAGTAAGTTTTTGGTAGTGGTGACCACAAACAGTAGGCTTGCAAAGCCTCCTGTCACCAAGGAGATGGCAGTGGGACACCATTCAGTGCTACATCAAGCCTGAAGACTTGATGTCAGGGTTAGAAACTACACCTTCATGAGTGCTAAAGCCACCTGCCCATCCTATACAAGGAATTGGAATCAATTTTGTCAGAGGGCGTCAGCAGTAAGTGCCAACCTGTATCAGAAGCAGGCAATGGACTAGATGCCACAGGGGACATCAGGATAGAGAATGTGAGTAACAATCAACCAGGAGACATTTGCCTCTCAGGAGCCCCACTGACATGCCACACAACTGGACTCAGACATGCCATCCCTGAGTCAGTAGCCAGCCAGCCAGCAGGCTGTCAATACTGTACATGCAGCAATACTGTAGAAGCCAACATCAGCCTTGACAAGAAGAGCAATCATGCTTGCATTTATTTGCATTAGCTGTAAATGGATGCTGAGGTATACAGCTGGTATTTGTGTTTGGGTTGTTTTTTTTAAATCACTAGCACTGGGCATTAGGGTGGATGTGAGTGGATCCTTTCTGAGTTCTGCTCGACTTTCTCTCCACCTACTCAAAATGGTGACTGCTGGCCACGGGTGATGAAACTACCCCTTCCCCAGAACCCCCTGATCAAGCCAGTGAATTACCCACTATCACCATGTTGTGTTGCAAGCACTGGAGCCTGAACTAGCTGTCAACCTTATTCATATTGTAGTGTCCCCCTTACCCTGACATCTCCTCAGCTACGTGCACCAAATTCATACAAGCATTTAAAAAATACATCCTCACAATAGATAGGTGCTTATTCCATGATGAGGCTCAGAATCATAGAAAATGAGGGTTGGAAGGTTGCTCAGGAGGTCATCTAGTCCAACCCCCTACTGAAAGCAAGACCATCCCCAACTAGATCTTTCCTGCCAGGCAACTATATCATTCCAGGCTTGTCTAGTTGTACAACAAAGTATATACTGTATTTTGACTGAGGGCGGTATTCATATGAGACGTTAGTGCAATGCAAGAATCTTGTGTACTGAAAAACCCTATACAGTCATTTTTATGTAAAAAGTTTATCAATATGCTTAGAAAGTCCTTAAGAAAAATAACTGCATCAGCCCTGTATCTGAAAGCCCTAATCAGCGTGCTTTGATAATTTATTTAGGTAGGTAGTAGGGCTCTGCAAAATGGCACCATTCCATTTCAACATTTCAATGGGACAGCATTTCATTTTGAATTTCATTTCAATTTGAAACCGCTGTTCCGTTTCATTTCGTCAAAACAGTTTTGCTGTTTCGACGTTTCGCCCATAGGCTATAATGGGGAAGCTCGAAATAGCCTATAACTTTGTCATTTCTGGCCTGATTTGGATGAAAACTGCCAAAACAGTAGCCCCTTCTGAGGGCATGAAGCCTGCCAAGTATCAAGGAGATAGGTGCACAGGTTTGGGGGAAACTGCACCTCAAGCTGCAGACAAGCAAAACTCATGACGTGTGACAGTGTGTGTGTTAAGGCACAGCAGGGTGAAAGCTGCAGGCTTGCTAGCCCCTGCTGGGGACATGAAGCCTGCCAGCTGTCAAGGAGATAGGTATAGGGGCTTCTGGGTTCTGGGGCCCTGCACCTCTGACTGCTGACAGGCAAAACTCGTGATATGGGTGCTTGTGGGACTATATCTATCTTGGGTTAAAGGGGGGTGAAAACTGCAGGCCTGCTAGGCCCTGCTGTGGCCACGAAGCCTGCCAGCTGTCAAGGAGATAGGTATAGGGGCTTCTGGGTTCTGGGGCCCTGCACCTCTGACTGCTGACAGGCAAAATGCGTGACAAGGGTGGGTGATACTCTGTGTGTGTTAAGGTGAACCCTCACTCAACTGACACCAAGGCAGAAAGCAGGGCAGTTCAAACAATGCTGCCTTTCATGCAGTTTTTCCATCCCTCCCCCAGAGCACTGGGATTGGAAGGGACCTCAGGGAAGGATGACTGTCACTGGCCAGCTGCACAGTCAATAACGAGAGTGGTCCTTCCCCCTCCCTCTCCTCACTTTAGTTTCTGTTTCCCTGCAGGCAAGCCCAGCTTGAGCTTCAAAACTCAAAACGTTTCGAAAATTTTGAAACGCTTTGACTTGCCTCGTTTCATTTCAAGGCTGATTCGAAACTCTCTGTTTCATTTCTATTTTGCTGTTTCAAGCTCAAAATGAGTTGAAACAGCATCAAAACGAAACTGCCGGAAAAACTACGCACAGCCCTCATAGGTAGTTAGTTTTACATTGAGCTGCATGCCAGCATTATCCACAGCACTAGCAGGTAAATTCAAAAGCATGAATTATAAATGGCAAACACTATTAACCCCTCTATATGTCTTTTACTCACTGTAAAATGGCACTGATGAAACAGTGAACTTTGAGCAAGTCCTCAGGGGATATGAAACAAAATTTCAGACACAGAAAATGCACTAGTAGGTCTCTAACATAATAGGGCAGGCTGCTTATCCCAGCACCCAAATAAATGAATCTGTCTTTCCAGTCATGCCATATCTGGAGGTATCATCCTGGTGAAGAACAGCAACGCCCATATAACATGATTCATTTTTGCTATTGCAAATAGGTATTTTTATCACAGAGAGTAGGGACACATCTTCCAACATCAGGCCTGCTCATGGAAGCACCAGTACAACTATCAACCTTCTTTCAGCAAGACCTCCTCCGCCTTCTCCCACATACACCCACCTCCCTAGTTTTGTCCTGGTAAACAGTTAGGGTGGCCATTCATCCGGTTTTAAAGAGGACAGACTGATTTTCTGGTCCACTGTCCTCTATTGATATGAAACTGAACACCTTTATGTCCTCTATTTTTCACTGCTTGGCACTCTCCCCCCTCTGCCCCCCCATCACCAGCACTGCCATGGTCACCTGTGGGAGCTCCCCACTCAGTCCACCCCCACTGCTGACACCACCATGGCTGCCTGCTCATCACCACCGCCACACCCCAACACTGCCACCGCTGCCTGTGGGAGCTCACTGTGCCCCCCAGCCTCAGGAGGCACATGACATTTGTGGTGGTGGGGACAGTTGCACTAAATACAATTGCCCTCTGCTTGAGGTACCTCGATGGCCACCCTATAAACAAGGGCCGGACAATTATTTCGGGTGGAGGGCCGCTTACTGAGTTTTGGCAAGCCATCGAGGGCCATGTGACAGGCAGCTGGGGGCAGATAAATGTTAATTTTCTAAATTTTTTAGGGGCCCCGTGGGCCTCATAGAATGGGCTGGCAAGCTGCATGTGGCCCGCAGGCCGCATTTTGCCCACCCCTGCTATGAACAGTATTAGCACCGTGCAGCCTCCTCAGTGTTACCTCATGCACAACACAGCAGCAAATTTGTTATGTACCTTCTCTTATCCTGCCTGGGAGGTTTAGTTCATTTGCAGGCCAGTAAGCAGAGAGGGAAGTTTGAAAAAGAGAAGCTTCAAATCATCTCCAGGGCTCCCAAAACTGTGGAAAACCTCCAGAGGCAGCATCTCAAGCCTGGGGAGCCAAAAAAGCCTTTGTCTTCAAAGCGAGGGAAATCAAACAATGAACAATAACTGCCTTCAAGGGTCCACATCTGCAAGTTCTAGACCCTGGAAAACCTTGCATTAACTACTGTACAATGTCTGGCATAAACATGAGGATGCAGGGGAAAGAACAAAAGAGAAGATGTACTTGGAGGCTATTAAGGTATTAGTGAAGCATGAGGAGGAGAAATGGAGGGAACTCTGAAACAGAAGACAAAGGGCTGATGGCAGAAAGCTGATGGAGAAAAGGTTCTGTCTGACCTGGGAAATGGTTGTAACAGAGAGGCCAGTACAAATGGACATGGAATATATGATAGATAATGGACATAATGGACAGATTAATGGCACTGCTGAAGAATTTATAAAGATTCCACTCACTGTCCACATTGCCCCCCATTAGCACAGCACAGCAGTCGGCAGGTTTGCTAGCATTAGTTTTGCGACATCAGGAGAGTTCACTGGGAGTCTACTGGGAGCTCCCCAGCGGGGCTGCCCAGCCCTCCAGGGAGAATGGCTCAGAACAGGAACCCAACTCCTCCAATTCACAAGCCACACAAAGGCCTGCTGCTACACAGCACCATCAACTCCCAGGACACTGGGCCAGCCAAGGTTAAGTCTGGTTTTGTTTACTTCAAAGGCAGCATTATTTTCTCCCATCATCCAAACCATCTATGGAATTCACCACAACACTGCCTAGCATGGCCGGGCAGTTATATGGACTATGATGTTTAAGATACAGGTAAAATATCTAAAAGCCATGAAGGCACAGAACACATGCAAAGCAGCCCCTGCCTACGGTCATTAATCACCGGCTAGAGGCTCACAGTGGTTACAATTCAGGCTATTACAGAAAGTCCTCAATGGCTAATGAGCAATAGGCTCAACAAGAGGCCCAGGTGTTTCCTTACCCCAGGTGCTGGATGCTGAATTTGACGGGAGAACCTAGCCCATCATGGCTTGTATGGGAGGAACCTAGTTAGGTGGATTTGCCTGGAATACTAAAGCCTGATCAGAGTCTATGGCCACTCTTATAATATGCATAACTATAGAAAGTGACATACCAAAATACGTTGAAAATACTATTCTGAGTTTTGAAGTCAACTCTTGAGATCTAGAAAATACTCTTCCTTCTTCTGCATTCAACCTGTACGCTGCACATTGCAAGGCTGCTTGGGAAAATTCAGTATGCAATCCAGTAATTAAAGATGGATGGGGTATGGGAGATGAGGGAGCCCTTGCTTCATGTGGTATCCCTAGAACAGTAGTTTTCACTACATCAAAGGGGTCCATGAAAGTTGACTATGGTAACTCAGAAGTATATGAATACCCACTCTTACAATTCAAAGGGGTCCGCACCACCATTTGAAATTTCCGAAGGGGTCCATGCTTCCATTTTAAATTTTTAAGGGGTTCGCAAATGAAAAAAAGGTTAAAAACCACTGCCCTAGAAGGAGTTTTAGGTTATTGAGACCAGATGCTAGGTCCAGCGGCTTGTTCTGGCTCTTGTCTTGGCTGTTAAGGAGAGATTCTGCAGTACAGGATACTGAGGCTATGGGCTAGGCCAGGGAATGAATATGTAGTGTTGAGGTAAGCCTAGCCAGGATCTTCCCCCTCTGCCCCTAGTTGGTCTTGTAGCTCCCATGGATCCCTAGTGCAGTGGAATCTGCTGTTGCTATGGGGTAGTTAGTCCTGGGTCTTTGGAAATGATCAGTGATTTTGGCAGACTGCCAGCATTTTGAGGAAAGAATGAGAAAAAAGGGAGATGATTTTTGACACTTTATGGGTCAGCTAATCTGAATACAATTTCATGGGGGAAACATTCAAGACAAAAAAACAGAGAGAGACTGCTGTTGCCCGAAGGGGACCCCCCTCCCTCAGCCTGCAATCTGAATATCAAGGACTACCTCCAAAACATGGAGTTTCTACAATTTATGAAAGACAAAGTACCAAGGATCCTTTATCACAGAAAGCATTAAGTTACTTAAGTATATAGAGTTTTTTCTACCAGATCTCTCTGTACATGAATAATAGCAAGCGGCAATGTGCAAGAAGGTATACTTTGATAGTCTACAGTAATTGTCCCAAATACTGTATGTTACAAGAGCAATCTAATACAGAGTGTGAGGTTTTACTGAAGAAAGGTTTGCCTTATAAGCTTACCTTAGCCCCTTCAGAGCCTGCTGATTTTGGGAGCTGAGAACTGCCCTCCCAGGTGTCACGAAGCACCTTTTCGGATCTAAGTGCATCAGCAAGCGGGTGAAGAATTGGGGAACATTTTGTTCGATTTGTATTGGTATAAAATAAGTAGTGAGGCACTGGAATTTTTCCATGTAAATAGGTGAGATTTGGGTCCTAAGCCATTTTTTGTGCTTTATATAGCACCAAAGCATGTTTGTCACTTAACAAATAATACAGAAGCATAGCCCTGCTCCCCTTGTTACTTTTCCAGGATGCTACAATACTCTTATATTCCTATAGTAATGCTCTCTTCTCCTCTCCCCCTCTGCCCCCTTAGATACATGGTTGTCATCTCACATGGCCCTGACTGATTTCCAGAAAACAAACCTGCGCGTACAACAGTTTTTAACATTCGTTTGCTATAACCCACTTGTTTGCACAGTCCACCAGCTATGCGGTGCAGCCGAGGCACAAATGGCTTAGCTAGTAACTTACGTCAAAGCTATGCAACCCGCTCAGTCGCTCTGCTTTGTGCGGGGGTAAGCGCTTCCTCGAGGTCGGGGAGTCGTCACGGAAACGGTGCAAACATTCCAAGTTCCGCCCTCTCTTGCTCTTGCTGCCGTGAGGCAACAATGCCGGCCTGCTGCTGGGACAACCTCACACACACAAAGGTGCCAGCAAGTTTCTCTCCTGGCAACCGTGAGGTCATTCAGAGTCTCAAATTGCACAGCAAAAGCAGGTGCTTTTAATGCAGAAGCTGGTGCTCTGGTTTGTCATATGGCTCTTTTTAAATCAGAGAAAAAGTAACCAAACTCTCCAGGAGCTGTTCTAAATGCCAATATAAATCATGGGACTGGAAGGGACCAGAAGAGTCATTAAATCCTATTACGGGTAACCATGTAGTACAATCCAGTGCATGGATTTATCAAACTGCATCTTAAAGGTAGATTAGTTGTTTGCCCCACTGCTCCACCTGGAAGACTATTCCAGGCACCCTCCTAGCCCTAATGGTTAGAAACCTTCTTCTAATTTGCAGCCCTTGTTTAGTCTTGGCCCCATTACACTCATTTGTCTTTTGTGCCAACAACATCCTTGCTTAAATAGCTTTTCTCCTTCCCTGCAATTTATCCCTTCATGTATTTACAGAGAGCAATCCTATTCCCTCTCAGCCTTTGTTTAGCTATGCTGAACAAGCCAAGTTCTTCTAGTCTCCTCTTATAAGACAGGTTCTTCATTCCCTTGATCATCATCACAGCCTTTTTTTTTGCACCTGTTCCAGCTTAAATTAATCTTTGTTCAGCATGGGTAGCCTGAACAGCACACAGGATTCCACCTCAGGTCTCACCAGGGCCTCGTACAGTAGTATTAATACTTCCCTAACTTTACTGCAAACACCTTGCCTGACTGCTTCTAGAATCACATTTGCCTTGTTTCATGACTATGTCACACTGATGGTGCATAGTCATCCCAGCTTTAATCTCTGCCCCATCCTCACTGCACACTAGCGTCATTTCTTCTTTTCTTACTCTCTTTGGGTGCATCCTCATGAGTGGGAATGTACATTTTCCCGGGAACAAACAATAGCAGCATGTTGCCCCAGGTGGGGTAGGGGAGGCTGAGGCCAGCATCTGGACTGGGCCCAGCAGCCTTACATGGGGCCCTGGGGGCCTCCAGAAGCTACAGCTATAGGGAAAAACTAGGAATAACTGGAGAAAACTAGGAGTAATGGTCACAATAGGAGAAAACTGGGAGTAATGGTCACAAACTCCTGGAAGACCGTTTCAGGCTCAACATTAGGAAAAACTACTTCACAACTAGGGTGTCCAGACTGTGGAATAAGCTCCCTCCAGAGGTGGTGCAATCACCTTCCCTGGAAATCTTCAAGAGGAGACTGGACGGGCACCTTGCTGGGTCACCTGACCCCAGTTGTCTTTGTTTCTTTGTGCAGGAGGGGCTGGACCCAATGATCTTCCGAGGTCCCTTCCAGCCCCTTACAATCTATGAATCTATTAATACTGCAGCAAGGAGCCTGGCCGGCAACTGGAGTGTGGCTCTGGCTGGGCAGGCTCCAGTTTCAAGTGACATATGTACCCGCCACGTGCGCCACCCAGCTTTTCTTAGGTGTGGGCTTTTTTGACACTGGGATTTCCCAGTGCCTAAATCCCTGTCCATGCTTCAAATTAGCAGTGCAAGGAATGCCTGCATGTTCGGTGTGTACAGTGTGCAGTGCCGCAGGGGGGGCTGCAATGCCGCATACCGCACATGCACACTTGTCTGGCTATGCCCTTTGTGTTTATTTAGCTAAAGAACTTTTCCTCTTGTTTTAATTTCTTTTCCAAGATCTAATTCAGCTTGACTCTTGGCAATACTCATCTTACCCGGCACACTCTGACCTTCAAGATGTACCTTTCCTTTTCCCTGGAACTCTAAGCCAGTCCTTCACGTTTTACACTGAATGCAGCTAACACCATAAACAAAGATGACAACCTAGTTCCCTCTGCTGTTAGCATTCAATATCTGCAAACAGCCTATACCCCAGACTGAAATAATTTCTTCCTCATGCTCCCTTTAAATAATTTAAGCTCTTCAGGGCAAAGACCATTGTTCATTTTCAAGTCTGAAACAGCACCAAGGACATCATAAATATTAATTAGATAATAATTTGATGCTCATTTAATAATGGGTTGAGCCAGATGCTGTTTGGGCAAGTACACCACAAGCATATAAGTAATATGATTCAATGATGGTACAATGCTGGTTCATTTTTAGTCCAATGATAAGATGTGTCAGTGATTTGCTGCTAACATAATGGGGTTTTACATATGCAGATTTGTGGAACAGTGTGAAGACATCAGTCCTTTGGTATTACACAGCATCTCTTCCTGCTTAAAGATTTTCCAAAATATATTTGAAGACATGGTATCAATCCAATCAAGGCAGTGGTAGTACTTAACTGGTAGAAAAGTAGTACTTAGTACTGATCATCTTTCAAACACTACACAAGTCTCACAATGATGATAATGCATTAATTTTAACAAATACTTTTGAAAGGCACAAAACCAATAAATTATGAATTGCCGGGGGCACTACAAAGAGCAGCTGAAAATGCTGCAGCTTGCCAACAAGTTTTACAAGAGACAAGTATAGACAGGGCAAAGAACTAAGATTTGGCTGTGTCCTGTGAAGTTCAGTGCCCAGAGGCTTGCAGAGTCAAGTCCAATAGTTGATGAAGGAGTTGAAACTTAGAGTGAAACCCTGACCCCTTTGAACTCAAAAGGAAAAAACTCCCACTGAGTCCAATAGGACTGGGATTTCATTCTAAAAGTTTAAGGCATTTGACAGTCCATGGACAAAAGTATAGGTTATGCAACAGAAAATAATCTATAGCTGGAGTTTATTGCATCAAAGATGGGGGAATGAGGGTTGGGAAAAAGAGACAGAATATATGCATTTAAGAGGAGGCAAAACAAGGAAAAGGATATTATGGGACATTCTCATTTCAGAGAGACTAGCAAAAGGAACTACATTAGGCAGGGAATGCTAAGAGACAATATAAACCAATAGCAGGCAAGTCAAGTCAAATTCCGAGGCTGCTGCAACCATTGGGGCACCTTAGATGCTGTAACAACCCTCCCCCACACTGCCCTGTTTTCATCAAAAGCATTGACTTAGTATTTTGACCACCATATGAAGCTGAATCAATGGCTAGTAAGCTAATGAAGTAGTAAGAGGACAAGAGAAATAAGTAGCCTAGCAGAGGTAAGGATAGCAAAAACTCTCCATGCATCTAGGACCTAAAGCAAGACCTGCTTCTTCACTGATGGTGTCACATAGCAATAGTAGGTAGAAAACCCCGGCTTGTCCTTGGCAAAGGCAAGAAAGAAGGAAACGAAGGAAACACCTACACTAGCTCCACACTTCTCTGAAGACTCATCAAAAAATTAGACCC